CATGTGCTGATTTTTAATGAGTCAAAGAATTTTAAAGTAGGCTACAATAAATATAATGCATGTGCTGATTTTTAATATGAGTCGAAGAAATTTTAAAGTAGGGATCAATTTTTGGACAAAAGAATAGTTCAAGAATGAGATAGTAGTAGAAATTTGATTTTATGTAATGCCCATATAGCAAATTATCGATAAATTGTAATATTTATATTATTAATATATCTTTGGTGAGCCTTCGTTAGATAAAGTATAGTAAAAAATATAGTAAATTTTACTGTCACATGAATAATAAATATCTTAAAAGTATAATAATTTAAGATCTATATTGATTACTTGTGATGAAGTCAGATGCCTTAGCATATTATATCTTGGCATATTTTATTTTAAATGGTTATTTTTAATTAGTTTTAATTAAAAATTCTTCTCTTTTTATTTGTTTAAATAATTTTAAAATTAGTTATTTTTTTGTACTTAATTAATTATAATTTTTGTACTTAAATAATATAATTTTTGTAGATTTAACACTCTTCTTATTACATTATTATTTTATTACTTAAGTGACTACTACATTTATTAGTGAATTTTAGCACATCAATTTTTCTTAGGATAACATACCATGAATCTCATGTATTCATTTCTTGCAAAGTTCTAGTGAAATTAAAAATTAATATAAAGCATCGATATGTACATCACTTCTTAATCACAATAGTAATTCATATGTAAACATCATCTATCACGAGCGTAGTGTGTTTGGCTTTTGAAGAAACAGAAGAGAGGGAAATTTTTTTTAATTAATTAAATTATAATATTTTTAAAATATTATAACATGTAAAATATAAAAATATAAAGTTGTTATATAAACTCAAACCAAATCAAGATCAGGGGTAAATATGCTTCAATGTTACCAATAAATAAAGTCCAAACATATAAACACATTCTGTCCGATAAATTGACAAGAACCAAAGCATTTGTAATTTTGTAGCTCCGTCATTAAAAGGATTTAACTTTTATTTTATTGATTAAGATTTA